CCCAGACACTTTTCCCCCTTCCAGTCCAGACACTTCGCCCCCCTTCCAGTCGGACACTTCCCCCCCCCTTCCAGTCCGGACAACTTTCACCCCCCTTCCAGTCCGGACACTCCCCCCCCCCCTTCCAGTCGGACACTTTCCCCCCTTCCAGTCCAGACACTTTCACCCCTTCCAGTCCGGACACTTTCCCACCCCCCTTCCAGTCCGGACACTTTCCCCCCCTTCCCAGTCCGTGACAACTTTCACACCCCTTCCAGTCCGGAGGACACTTCCACCCCCTTCCAGTCGGCGACACTTTCCCCCCCTTCCAGTCCGGACACTTCACCCCCCCACTTCCAGTCCGGAACACTTTCCTGCCCCCTTCTTCCGGTCCGGTCTAAACACTTTCCCCCCCCACTTGCAGTCCAAGACACTTTCCCCCCCTTCTATGGTCCGGACACTTTCCCCCCCTCGGACACTTTCACCACCTTCCAGTCCAGACACTTTCACCCCCTTCCAGTCCGGACACTTTCCCCCCTTCCAGTCCAGACACTTTCACCCCCTTCCAGTCCGGACACTTTCCCCCCCTTTCCAGTCCGGACACTTTCCCCCCTTCCAGTCCAGGCAATTTTCAGCTTTCAGCGCTGTCACACTTTGAACGACAATTGCGCGGTCATGCAACACTGTACCCATATGAAATTTTTTGCATTTGTTTGAGACAGATAAAGCTTTATTTTGGTGGTATTTATTCACTGCTGGGATTTTTATTTTTTGCTATATAAATGAAAAAGCCCAAAAAATTTAAAAAAATTTGTTTGCAAATAAATAATCTTTCTTCATAAATCTTGGCCAAAATGTATTCATCTGTCTTATTAGTAGTAGTAGTTTTTTTAATATTATTATTTGTTTTTTTTGTTGTTTTTTTTAAACATACCATCACCCTGGCAGTACAGTGTCACCATGGCGACCCTGTACAATTGTGGGGGTGATGAAGATTTGTTTTCCTTTTATTACACTGATTGCTTTTACACCCATAAAGCAATCATTTCTCCTTCTCTCGGCATTCCTGCAGCCATTGAGAAATACTGTGAGAGCTGTGATTGGTCACAGCTTGTCATATGGTACAGGGCTGTTGTGAATGGCCCTGTACCATGTGATCACTGTGATCATTCACAGATTTCACAAGTAGTAAGCAATGATGTCAGAAGTGACATTTACTACAGCTTGGCCAATCAGTGATCACATGAATCAGAACCTCACACAGAGGTCCCGTACAGCAATCTGGAGTGTGTCTGGAGGAGTGTGCTCAGGCAATGGATGCAGGGGGATGTTTAGAAACGTCCACCCGCTCCGGCAGCGCTCCCGTCCAGCCGTTTATGTACATGGGCCGGACGGGAAGAGGTTAGTCGGTTTTCATCTGAAAATACAAACACAGGACATCACTGCTGAATCTTCTTTCTGTCGAAGGAGAATATTCGTATCTTTAGTAACCTCTTCACTTCCGAGATGAGACTATCGTTCGATATTGTCATGGTGTGTGTGTGTCCATTGCATGGGGAATGTACAGTGTGCGGTCCATCCCAGGGATCCTCTTCATCTATGGAGAGAGAACAATAAAACCATTCACACTTCTTCAAGGATCTGTCCGTACCCCCCCCCCCCCAATCAGAAGAATACATAGAATGGGATGTTCATGTAGGATTATGTTCTAGACCAGGGGCGGGCAACTGCGGCCCTCCAGCGGTTGTAGAACTACAAGTCCCATGAGGCATTGCAAAACTGACAGTTACAAGCATGACTCCCAAAGGGAGAGGCATGATGGGACTTGTAGTTCACCAACAGCTGGAGGGCCACAGTTGCCCACCACTGATCTAGAGGAATGCTGCGCCCTGCCCGTGGTGACCACGCCTCGTCAGATCTGTTTGGGTGACCCCTCAGTTTGTAGTAATGGACACGTAGTCACCAACCGGAGACGCCAGGAGGGTCAGGAGATTTCCTTCTCCGAGGAATACATTTCTTTGTATACAATGATAATAAAGGGATGGGAAGTTTAGGGTGTCACCATGTTGGGTCGTCTGTATGTCCCAGGAGGCCGGTATCAGGTCCATTCATCACAGTGGCGTGTCCATATCACATGACAGAAGGAGCCTGTGACGTGTATCTCAATGTGTTACATTGTTGGGATGAAAAAAGATCCATCTCAGGGCCAGGGGTGGACTGACAACTCATGGGGCCCCCGGGCAATAGAGGATCATGGGGCCCCTGTGTCCTTGCCCAAACTCAAGGACACAGGGGCCCTGTTCCCTGGTTCCCCCCTCCCCCATCATCAATGCTATATTTATTGATTATGAATTAAAATATTTCCATTTTCATTACATTCCTTATTTTAGACCCGATGATGTCATCACTGGGTCTCTGTGCTTCTCTTTGCTAGTGGGAGGGGCCATCAGAGGGCTGTACATAGCTCAGTACTCCTCTCAAGAGCCCTCAGTCCTGATGAAAGCAGTGGGAGGAGTTATACAAATATCATGCCTTGATTGGTGGGTGTCAGTCTGAAGGAGTGGGGTGTTCCTAGGCAGGCTGTATTGGCATGGTAACGTCCACATGTGATGCTGAGCCTCCATGATTAATAGAACTGATATCCAATGAATGGAAGGGGCGGGGCCAGGGACAGTAAAGCTGGGGAGGAAAGCGCCAGATGATGCCGGACATCCTCAAGCCAGGAAATGGGGCGGAGCTCTATCTGATTGGCTGCAGCTTCTAATGCACATTGTGAGAAGCTCCCCGTGTGCAGTGACATCAGAGGAAGCCATTCCAGTCCAGGGGAGGAACCAGTACACCTGTGCAAGACTGAAGGGGAGGAGCTGGTACACCTGTGCCAGACTGAAGGGGAGGAGCTGGTACACCTGTGCCAGACTGAAGGGGAGGAGCTGGTACACCTGTGCAAGACTGAAGGGGAGGAGTAGGTACACCTGTGCAAGACTGGAGGGGAGGAGCTGGTACACCTGTGCAAGACTGGAGGGGAGGAGCCGGTACACCTGTGCAGGACTGGAGGGGAGGAGCCGGTACACCTGTGCAGGACTGGAGGGGAGGAGCCGGTACACCTGTGCAAGACTGGAGGGGAGGAGCTGGTACACCTGTGCAAGACTGAAGGGGAGGAGCTGGTACACCTGTGCAAGACTGAAGGGGAGGAGCCATTACACCTGTGCAAAACTGAAGGGGAGGAGCCGATACACCTGTGCAAGACTGAAGGGAGGAGCCAGTACACCTGCGCAAGACTGAAGGGGAGAAGCCGGTACATCTCTGCAAGCCTGAAGGGAGGAGCCATTACACTGGTGCAAGGCTGAAGGGGAGGAGCCAGTACACTTGTGCAAGACTGAAGGGGAGGAGCTGGTACACCTGTGCAAGACTGAAGGCGAGGAGTCGGTACACCTGTGCAAGACTGAAGGGGAGGAGCCGGTACACCTGTGCAAGACTGAAGGGGAGGAGCCAGTACACCTGTGCAAGACTGAAGGGGAGGAGCCGGTACATCTGTGCAAGCCTGAAGGGAGGAGCCATTACACTGGTGCAAGGCTGAAGGGGAGGAGCCAGTACACTTGTGCAAGACTGAAGGGGAGGAGTTTGTACACCTGTGCAAGACTGGAGGGGAGGAGCAGGTACACCTTAGGAAGACTGAAGGGGAGGAGCCGGTGCACCTGAGGAAGACTGAAGGGGAGGAGCTGGTGCACCTGAGGAAGACTGAAGGGGAGGAGCCGGTACACCTGTGCAAGGCTGAAGGGGGGAGGAGGGATTTGGGAGAGGATGAGACGTCCTCAGTCGGGGGTTGGGTCTATGTTCCATGCTCTGAGCTCTACACATACATGTATCATCTGTCCCCGGGATATTCAGCGCGGTGACTCTGGAGGCGGGGCGATGGTGTCACTGGGAGATGATATCGTGCCGAGGAAACACGCGGATAGTTGACTCGCCTCCAATGAGAACACTGAATTGGATAAAGATGCTCGGGGAAAAATCTGCAGCTCGGATTGTAGGACACGAGCAGAAAAAAGTCGGCGTGCCGGAGATCGTTCCGTTCTAATGACCTATAATTGGCAACGCTGCCGGGGCGAAGGTGTGACTGCCGCGAATATTCCCCAAAATGTGTTCACCAGAATCGGGAGTCATGAGTTCAGTTAAAGAGCCAGTAAATGTCCTTCATAAAGGGGGGGGGGGGAGTCTGTGAGGTTCTTGTAGCTGTGTCCCCACAGGGAAGATTCCCCCTCACTTCCTGTCCTGGTGCGTGAGGATATCATTGGGACAGGAAGTGAGGCTGAATAATTATCCCGAATATATACTGCGATATGTACAGTTGCAAGAAAAAGTATGTGAACCCCTTGGGATTCCGTGGAGTTTTGCATGAATTGGGCATAAAATGTGCTCTGAACGTCATCAAAGTCACACCAATAGAAGAACACAGTCTGCTGAACATAATACTACACAAACATTAGATGTTGCCATGGTTTAATTGCACATAACATGTAAACATTCACAGTGCAGGGAGGAAAAAGTATGTGAACCTTTGGACTTAATAACTGGTTGACCCTCCTTTGGCAGCAATAACCTCAACCAAACGTTTCCTGTAGTTGCAGATCAGACCTGCACAACGATCTGGAGTCATTTTGGACCACTCCTCTTCACAAAACTGTTTCAGTGTAGCAATATTCTTGGGATGTCTGGTGTGAATCGCTCTCTTAAGGTCATGCCACAGCATTTCAATGGGGTTGAGGTCAGGACTCTGACTGGGCCACTCCAGAAGGCGTATTCTGTGCTGTTGCAGCCATTGTTTTGTTGAATGACTTGTATGCTTTGGGTCATCATTGTCCTGTTGCATCACCCATCCTCTGCGGAGCTTCAGTTGGCGCACAGATGGTCGTACGTTTTCCTGCAGAATGTCTTGATAAACTCTGGAATTCATTTTCCCATCAATGACACCAATCCGTCCAGCCCTGAGGCAGGGAGGCGCAGCCCCCCGCCGCCCTGAAGCTGTACATCTACTATAGGGCGGTCCTATGACGGGTACAGACAGCAGCGATGTGGCTCTCGCAGTACACGGGCGATAGAACCTCCAAAACACACAATCTTTGTGTCCAAATTGCTACATCTTATAGTTTCTGATTGCAGAGGGGAAGAGGGGGGGGTGGGGGGGGGGGGGTGGGGGTGTCAGACCTCCGTAGAGAGACCGCTGCTTCCACACAGACAGAAAGGGCCTTCTCTGCAGCATGCTGGCCGGGGACAGGCTTCTCCACTCAGGCTGTGGCTACTTCATATAGGAATGAGCTGTTCACATTACCTGCGCCCATTGCCCTTACGATCGGCATACACACAATCATAAACGTTCGATCAGAGATGGGATCATTTCAGACAATCTTTTTTCATCAAAAGAACAATCATCTGACCCAACAAAAAA